GGTCTCCACAACACGGGAAATAGTAGTTCCACTCTAGGTCTCACCTTGAATCCTATCTTGAACCTGGGCACCACAAGGGAAGGAGGGCTGAGACAAGCTGGAAGAGTTTCAGAGAAGGTCAACAAAGATGATTGGGGGCAAGAAACTAAATCATATAAGATAAGACTGTGAGAACTGGGGACTTATTCCCCAGCTAGCATTATTATGACACAAAAAACATGGGGAGGTCAGTTGCATCACCATACCTGCCACCCCGGGCAGCCCTCTTTTAATGTGGATTCTTGCTCTGAGCAGGAGGTTGGACCTCAATGGCCCAACCCAGTTCTGTGATGCTAAATGATGACCTGTCTTTCTCCATATAGGACTTTCCAACTGCAAATCCCAGAGTCCTTGTCTACAGCATCTGTAGATTTATTTATCTGTCAAATTTAAATGGCCACCCATCTCACATCAAGTGACTCTGGGTGACGTACAACAAAACCTATTATTAAAACTGACTACAAACCCGTTAAAAATAACCAGAACAATAAACCTAAATAGAAAGAAGACCACAAGAAGGAAAATATTACTCATAATACAGCCAACGCGTGAGCTCCTTATCACCAGGAGATCCCCAGGCTTGCTGGAAAAAAGAAAAATACATTTTAAGGGCTTTCCGGAAGCCATGAGGGTTGGGGCTAACAGAAGATCAGTAGCGTATCTTGGATCGCTTTACTTTCAGGAGAAAGAGTGGGCACAAACATGGCAATTGGGTGACCTCTGGTTGATACTTGGGTTAAGTTTTGCAGGACCCTCTCAAGAGATGCCACAAATGTAACCCTTTCTTGGCAACTCTGGAGGTATAAAATGCTTTTTCAGCAAACTTGGCATTCTTGTTCCTTTTTTCTGCTGAGTTTTCTGGAAGGAAGCTGGCCTACACCCAGTGATGCTCTTACTGAAAAACTATGCAATGATTTATTGTCCCAGGGATCTGTATATTTTTCCCATCTAGCTTTCTTCATACCAGCAACATCATAGCATATTTTGGAATTAACATTGAAAAACAGATAACTTAGAGCAAGGTTTCTCAACCTTGGCCACATTAACACGTGTGGACTTCAACTCCCAGAATTCCCCAGCCAGCATATGCTAGCTGTGGAATTCTGGGAGTTGAAGTCCACATGTTTTAAAGTGGCCAAGGTTGAAAAACCCTGACTTAGAGGTTGTACAAAGCAAGGGACAGGGAAATCTGAGTTGTTGTTGCTTTTTAAAGAAAAAAATTTCTGAGGCCGAAACCAAATTTTTACCAAAAACCAGTCTTAGATGGAATGTGGCAGAGCCTCCCTGAATGCAAACTGGGTGCTAGCTGCTTGTTATCTGATGACAGGAACATGAGCCAGGAAAATTAATGTGACAATACAGGCAGTCCTCATTTAGTGACTGCCTTGGTTAGCGACTGCAGTTACGATGGTGATGAAAAAATAACTTTACAACCAATCCTCACATTAACGATCTGTAAAGCAAAGGAAAGCTGAAGGAAGATCACAACCACAGCCGCTCAGCAACTGCTTTGCTCAACGACGGAGTTGCCGGTCCCAGTTGTGGTCACTAAACAAGGCCGACCTGTACAAGAGATGATTTTTTAAAGTGCCACAGCTTCTTTTCTTCCTTCCCAATAAATATTTATGGCTCTGGTTTACACAGCCCAAAAGATGTTGCAACGCTCAAATACAATTTAAAAATCCGTAGTGAGACGAAGAAGAGAACAAGATCCAACCCAGACCTTGTAAATGGGCTGGCGGCTCAACCGAAAAACAGAGGAGAGGGTCCTGGACAGACCTTAAGAGAAGGCGTTCGAAAGGTTTGCTGACGTCCCCAAAGAGATTTCTTACCCCCGACAAACGGTGGCACCGCCTGAATTCCATCTTCTGAATTAGGTAGTGCCCCAAAGTATTCAAACGGACTCCACCAATATTAAAAACAACACAGCACGGCGCCCTGAAGCCGTAATAAACGTCTGGTGCTGCTACGGTTGCTTACGTGGGATGGTTAACAACCCCATACGAGAGACGGGACTGGCAGCGAGGTTATGATATGCACAAAGACGGACAGATACAGAAACGGAGGAGTGGACGGTGACGATGGCAGAAGTTGCCGAAATGGCCCGATTGCCCTGCTTGATTAGGGGGGGAACAAGAACGACTTTTATAAAAGACCGGAAACCCCTTGTGGACTTTTTGCTGAAAACGGACAAAAATGGATGGGTGATTTTGGGATTTGCTGATCAAACAGGGTGGCTTAGGGGAAGAAGGGAACCACGTTATATAACTTGGGAGGGCGGAAGTGGTAATCATCCTGTTTGCGACTGCCGCAAAGGAGATCAGAAGTCGCTTCTTTAAATCATTTTCTTTTTTCTTTTTTTCTCTGGCTTTTACTGTTCTTCACTTTTTCTTCTATCTTTTCGTATCTTTTCCCCTTTTCTAATTTTCCCTTTACGTTTCTGTGGTTTTTAATTCTGTACAAAGTTCTCCTTCAATAAAAATTATATTAAAAAATCCCAGACAAATGTGAAAATGCCCCTGCTTTTGAACCTTCACTGCAGAGCATCCGTGCGCCACGCAGATCATCCTCTCGAAAGGGATGTGACTTATTTTCTTTGGAAAGGGACCGGGTGGGCCTTTTTGGCTATTGGACTTGCGCAAAAGAATTAGGGTCATAAATCAGTGGGGGAAAATTAGTCCAGAAAAAAACCCCCAAACAAACCTGAAGTTTCTTAGCTGCTTCCACTAGAATTGTCAGTAGCAGCTGGCAAAGCACACACACTAAGCAGAAAGATAAATACCAAGGAAATTTAGTCTTGCCTTGCCATATATTTAAGTCAACAAGGCAAAATAAAATAAATTACACAGCACAGACCTATCCTGCACTTGAATGAGTTTCAGATATAAATCTAGGTGAAGAACAGTTGCTTCAGGTTAAAAACCTGAAACTGAACACTTTTCCTGGATATGTGCTTGCCTGTTTACTGTATAGTATATGCATATGTACTAAGTTGTGTGTGCGTGTGTTATTAAAAGATTACGTCCTGTGATAGATGAATATCTTAATGCAACAATCCTATTAAGTCTTTGGAATTTATACAAACAGGAAGTTATAGAATCCTGCAGCAGATTAATAGGCTTAACACATGGTGTGAACCCAGCCAATAGTGGCTTATTCAATAAATTACAGTCAAACCATGTTTCAGCTCAATGCATGAACCCAGTCTCAGTCTTTCCATCTTCTCTCTTTTGCAGTTTCAAACTTCTTTGGCCTGCCTACTCCCAAGTTACACTTTAGGAGAGTGGGCTGAAAAACACTACAGTTCCCTACTTCCCCAGATCAGCTTTTCTGTATATTTTAACCACGGCTACTGGGGGGTTCCTTGACTTCCAAGTAAATATTCAGAAGACTAATAGAAGAGGGTCTCTGTAGCTCAGGGTTGAACTGTGGAGTCCTTGGGGTTCTCTGAGCTTGGTTGTTTTCT